TGTGGAAGGTTTTTCTTGGATTAAGAGTAAATCAATTCATGTTGTCTTCACCTTTAGTGATTGATGTCTTTTTTACGAGATTATGTACACTTCGAGTCTAACTCATAATCTATGCTGCTCTCTCATACTTCTATGAGTTTTGGTGCTTGAGACAAATTGCGTCCAAACTTAAATATTACAAATGCGTTTTGAGTACATATATCTGATAAAAAAAATTTTTTTTTCTTGGTTTATAAAAAGGAAAAATAGAGCTCATATTATATTTTTTTTTATTAATAATAAAAAATTTATTAATATAAAGCACAAAGGGTACTATAAACTCTCGTACATTTTTGGTTTGTTTCTTTATTACAATATGTGGAGCTGGATAATTATCACTCCAATACAAGTATACCCACACTACCCACCCGGTGCTTTCATTTCCTCACCCCATTTTGGTTTTATTTGCGCATTCCCTTGGAGAAGAGGTCCAATCCTTGAATGAAAAATCCACCTGCCCTGCTCTTCCTGTTAGCCAAAGAAACGATATCGTTTGAACTAATGTGAATAGTTTCTCTTCATCAGCATCAATTGCCTTGAATAACAATTCGTTTCTATACAACCATAAAATCCACACAACAGCAAACCATACAACCTCCCACCCACCGTTGCCCTTCCTCCTCTTATACTAATTGTACTTGTTTCTTGTACTCTTCCTAAAATATAATTTTTATTTTCTTCCAAAAACAAGAAGATTTTGTAAGTTGTGACAAAAATTTCTTTGAATCTTAACTTCACAGATGTATTGATTTCTTGATGTATATTTGTATAATTGATCAATTATATATTAAGACTTGATAAATGTCTCCTAACTCTTTCTTGGGAAATGCACGAACTTTACATTGGTATCAATATAAAGCTATTTAGTGATCTGAATTACCGAACATGATAAAGTTGAATTATTTTATTCTCTAGCTAGTAGTAGTAATCTGCATTTAAACATGACTCAGAAATTAATTTAACTCAAGTAAATTTTGTAGTATTTTCTATTCCTAGTGGAAGTACATTCATAAATAGATTAACCTACGGAGAGAAGATTGTCTTTTGGCAAATGCATTTCCAGACTAGAGGATAGTACTCATTCTCTTGCACCTCCATCGCTTGAATCGATACTTCAATTGGGATGCAAGGCTTGCATTGGTTGCATTTTGCATGACACGCAACGGGAAGTGATCCTTTCATTCTGGGTATAAACACCCCACTTTCCTACAAACCAAATCAAGCATGTTTCAGTAATGCTTTTTAACAAAACAGCTGTAGGATATATATGTAACAACTCAACCTTGGCCTAGCAATTTCATTACCATTTTCACGGAAAGAAAGATTCAGGTTCTTCTGATTTCTCTTCCTCATCTTCTAATTAATATATATAAAGGGTTAAAAATGGATGATATAGCAGAGTTAGGGATGGACTTACTGAAGATGGGGAGATTGCAAGGTTCCGTGAGTGAACTGACTCAGAATAAATGAATATGGTGAGCAAGATGAGAAATACTAATCTCTGTGTTCTTAGTTCCATTCTTGATAAGGTGTTCGTTGCAGATGGAGAATTTTCATGGAATTTGTATTACTAAAGAGGACGACCTAGAGCTTCTTCAAAGGATGTATCAAATATTGAATTAGTCTTTGGGGAGATTCTGAGTGTGGTAATGAATCAGTGGAAGTTGAGGAGTTGTTGGATCTTCTTATGTAGCATCAAGAAATGGTCAAGCTTAAGCTAAGCAGAACATATATATCATCATAAATAATTCCATAAATAATTCCAGGAATAGAAGACCAAATCAAAGGCTGAATCACCTTCTACTCTGATACAATAATGATACGGCTTTGATGCCATAATAATATACTTTTAATTAATCTAAATAATGTGTTTGCGATGTAGTATATATAACTTAGTGGTAATCTTTTTTGATATATAGGGTGGAGTAAGTTAAGAAATATATAATCTAACCTCTCATTTTCTTATTGGCTTAATTTGTAAATTGTCTATTAATTATTGATTTTTTTTCAGTCTAATTAGTATCTTTATTTTCTTCTAAAATAGCCTAAAAGTAATATTATATCAATTTCATCTATCTAATACAATTCTATCAAATAGATTGACAGATGTCCGTGTCTATGTTTATGTGGTGCCTATAATCTAATTAAAACAACAAAACTAAAATTCTTCAAGCACATCACCACATAAACAATAATGAAATTTAGATTAAAGTTATTAGTAATGGTTAGTCTTTATATTTATATATCAATTTCACTCACAATCAGTACAAGACTCACTGAATAAATAAAAATTTAAATTAAACTTATTAATAATGGTTACTTTCTACACTTATATAATAATTTAACTCAAACTTCCATCTCGATGTAGGATTTGGGGCATCATAATCCTATATCCTTATTGAGCCCAATTATAATCAATACAAGACTCACTAGATTAATAATGTGAGTTCCATACTACCATAAACTCTGATGATTAGCATAAACTCACACCAGTGAGAGTTGATTGCTCTAACACCAATTGAAACAATTCAAGTTGAAGTCTATTAATGGCCTAACAACTTTTTGTATCAAAATGCATGAAACTTGAAAATAATAGCTTAAATTCAAGTTATTAGTAATAATTAGTCTTCACATTTAGACTAATCTTACTCACAGTTTTTGACATGGGATTGAAGGCGTTATAGATGACTTGAACTTCTATTAATCTAACAAAAGAAATTGTATTAGATAGAAAAAAGTGATACAATTTTAAAAGTTAATAGGTGTCTTTGGAAGAAAAAAAAATCCAAAACTAGAATGAAAAAAAAGGCAATAATTATCATATAATTTGTTAAATTAAGTCATTCTTTATTTTATATTTTAAATATTGTACTATCACCTCATGGAATTAATGCACCTGCTACCATTACATAGAAAAATATTCTCCTTTTCCTCCATTCCCGTCCACCCTGACAACAAATTGGTGCCTCACTTGCCTCTCTCCGGGGGAACCCACCAAAACAGAATGTTGCCCTGCTACCACCACCCTCTTTCCTTCACTATCAACAAGACTAAACCCCTCGCACACATCCACACTTACCGTGACGTTCTGGGTTTTCCCCCTTTCCACCTCCACCCTCTCAAACCCCACCAACTCCACATTTGGTGCGCCGCTCACCACCCCTCCTGAACCGGTCGGCTTCCAAAACACCAGTACCACATGGGTTCCGTCCCTTGGTCCTTTGTTTCTCACCCCGATTGTGATTTCGAATTTCAAGTCCTCGCAATTTAGGGTTGAAATGTCGATTGCGGCGGCGTTGGTGGAGGTTGAAGTAGGGAGAATGTTTTTTGGTTTTGGTTGAATGAGGATTGTTGAAGGAGCAGAGATGATGAATTTGGAGAATGTAGAGTAGCTTTGTCCATGCCCAAATTGATATATTGATTTACCGGAGTAGAACCGATAGGTTCTTCCGGGAAAGTTTCCAGTGGCGTTGGCTCTCATGTTCATGTCCGTCATCGGGACTTGATCTGCGTACTCTTGTGGGTACCATGTGAAAGGAGACCTTCCGGACGGATTGTAGTCTCCAAATATCACCTGTGCTATGGCGTCACCGCCGGCCTGACCCGGATACCCCACCCACAAAATTCCTCCGATTTTGCTCAGATTTTTAGCAAAAGAAACATCAATAGGACCGGCGGACATAACCACAAGAATCACCGTTCCGTTTGTCCCAGTGGCAACCTGTGTCACCAGCTCCTCTTGATACCCCGGCAAAGTCAGGTTCTCTCTGTCTAGCCCCTCAGCCTCAATAGACTGATCAAGCCCCACAACCACCACCACAGCGTCAGCCGTGGCTGCAGCCTTCACTGCCGCCTCTATCCCTGTCACATCGCCACATTTTACATCACTACATCCGCCCTCATACGTAACGGCAGAGATATACTTCTGCAGCCCCTGTAAAGGGCTGGTGTAGTTGCAGGGGATGCCAGCGTAGTTGCTAATCATGACGGTTGTTGCGTTGGCATTTGGTCCTATAACAGCTAAGTTCTTAGTGGAATTTGGGGATAAAGGAAGAGCTCCATCGTTGTCTAACAAGACGATCCCCTGCCGAGCAGCATCCAGGGCTAACATTTGATGTTCCTGGGTGCATACATCCGATGGCCCAAGTTCGCCGAAGGGAAGCAGCTTGGGGTCTCCGTCAAAGAAACCAAGTCTCATAAGGACAATATAGTTGTATATCAAAGCTTGATCTACGACTGATTCTTCCACCTTACTCAAATTTACTGCATTTTCAGTGTAATTGCCGAGAAAATCTCCACAGTTCATGTTTAAACCTGCATGACATAATGATGTAACAGCGCTTAATCAATCTATTTGTTTCCTGGGAAAATAATAAATGTTGTTTATGGTGCAATAACAACACCTGCTTTTAAAGCTAGGGCTACTGCATCTTCAGGGGTTGTAGTGTAATGTATTGTATCATAATAGACCTTAATTGAGTCACAGTCTGAAACAATGTACCTGCAGAAACATGTCGATTTTCAATGAGACAGAGAGTTGAGTTTTGTGATACAAGTTTGTGTTGCATGGACTTTAGATCAAGTATCCGACTTGAGGCTAAAGGTAAGGTGAAAATTCTGTATCAATAAAAATGATTTAGGGATAAAGAAAACAAACCCATCAAGACCCCATTGTCCTCTAATTATTCCTTGAAGCAAGTCAGGATTAGCACAAGTAGGAATCCCATTGACTCTGTTGTATGAACACATCACACTGCTTACATGTCCTTCCTCGACACAGCTTTTAAATGGAGGCTGATATGTGTCTTCCAGATCTTGCTTAGTCACCTGCAACATCCCAAACAATCCCATCTTTAAAAAATGTTACGAGTTTCTCGTTACATGGACTTGGGATTAAGTGTTTGATATAGATATCCTTAAAAGGACTTAAAAAGCATACTTGCGCATCAAAATGGAATCGATCAATGCCTTTCCATTTATCAACATCGTACGCAGTATAGTGCTTGCAACAGCTTGAAACCTTAAGTCTGTCATTACTTGAATTGGTTACTTCTTGCAGTCCCCTGACATAATTTATAGCATACTTGGACACAACCAGAGGATCCTCCCCTGGTGTTTCTTGACCACGACCCCATCTTGGGTCACGGAACACATTAACATTAGGACTCCAGTATGTGAGTCCAGCCAGTCCAGCATTGAACATGGCTCGTGCTTCAGTGGACACCACCTGCCCCATCTTAAGCCACAATGTCATATTGAAGCTTGCAGCTGACAGAATCACAGCTGGAAAACTAGTGGCGCCAGGCACCGTGGCATTAAAACGGACTCCAGGGCCAGTGTTTGAGACACCATGGAGTGCCTCCGACCACCATTCATAGGCTGGAATGCCTAGCCTGGAAACACCTGCTGCCCTGTTCACTAGTTGCTGCACCTTTTCCCGAAGAGTCAGGCTCGAAACAAGATCTTTGGCTCGCTCCTGGTAGGACAAGGAGGTGTTGCAAAAGAGGAATTGGCTTGTTTCAGGGGCATTCTCATCGCATGCAAATGGTTGAGCCGTACAAGGGACCATTAGGAGAACCAAGAGGCAGAGTACTAAGGAAAACTCCCTCTCCATGGCGTGTTTACATTAATGAGGGAAATTGCAAGAATCACATTGCTTTTATGGCCAAAAAAGGGGTTGATTTCTTGTTGTTTGAGGAACCAAAAGGCGAATTTGACTTAATAATTCCATTAGTAAGCCAAGGTATTTTTAATAAAACAAAAAGGGTAAGCTCTTTAGTTCCCAGTGGACCACCAAACAAGACAGATCTCTTTGTGCATGCTTTAAAGAAACAAAATAATTTCAAGAACTGTTTGTTGACAACATATGTGTGAAAAAAATTAACATGTACACTTCATACAAGATTTGCATTTATCGTATAGATTGTTAGTAATAGATAAAGTAGTCTTTTTAATTTGTATTTAATTATTTTTTTTTTTTGGTTATTTGTTGGATATAAAATTTTCTTACTTAACATTTTATTGTAGTAATTTTTATAAATTCTTTTTATTTAATGAGATGCATAAATCAGTATTCAATAAATATTGTCAATAAATCACTTCCGTTTGATGTACTAATCTGATTTTCATTAATTCTTTTCCCCTAAGCATGTGGAACATGATGTGGGATTAATTATTCTGTCTGTCCCAGCCATTTATACATAAATTTGGAGATTGCGTGGGAGAAAAGTGAGATTATCTTCGAATAAACAGTTTCCACATATCAAAATGTTGAAAAAGGCAGACTTGGGTCCTAAGAACGAAGTTTGTGTGTTAAGTAAGCAGAGATGGAGATGTGTACACTCCATGTTCATTGAAGGTTTGCCTTTTAAGAGACTGCAAGATAGCATGCTTGCAAGGCCCACTAAGACATCTAGCTAGCTACTTATGCTACATAAAATATCAAGTTGGCTTCCAAGTGGAAGTGAGAGCGACTTAACTTATGTTCTAATTAAGTCAGTACGTACCTTAGTTCTTAGGAAAATGCATTTGGCTGGAAAGGAACTAACTAGTTCTTGACTATAAAAAGTAAAGTGATTCTTGGCTAATTAAGCCTCCATTTCCTTGAAAATTATGTTAAAAAGAAAAAAAGATGTTGGCTAAGCTTCCGTTTCCTTGATAATTGCATTTAACATGTAATAATGAGGCGGCATTGTATTTCCAAGGATTAACACCTTCAATTTGAGATATGATAGTTTTCTATTTTGGTAATTAATGACTTGTTGGACTTTAATGATGGATTATATAATGTCAATATTATTTTTTTTTTTTCAAATCTTTATCCATCTATTTCAAAGACTTCTATATTGAAATCTCAAATTATTATTTGTTGACAAAGATTATATTAGTAGGTTATTAGGTTATTTTTATTGAATATTTCTAACTTAAAAGGTTGTAGCTTGGACTTAAGAAATTGTAACTTAGTTGATAAAGAGATTATTCTTTACCTTGTTGACCAAGATTCAATTTCCTAAGGAAACCAATAAGAAGATAATTACAAATGAATTTTCTAATCCTACTGTAAATGGCTTGGTTTTAATCAGATTGAAGAGAAATTAGTTTCAAGATACATACAAATTAGGCTAGAGACACCTTAGCAGCTAAAATAAGAAAAGGTTTAAGTTTGGTTGGGTTTTGAGGAAAATTCTCCGAATCAAAGTTTGCAACATCTACATTATGAATTGATAATATATAACTTCAACATGGAGTTATTACTTTAATCATGATTCTAAAAGCCCAATCTTAAGTTGCAAGTCATTTCACTGTATAAATTAAACTAAATTATATAATTAATTGTTTAAAACTTGTTAGGAAATCTCCTTATGAATCAAATGTTTAAATGTGTTGATTACAGAAGAGGGAGGATGATGGTTGATTGCGGGAGATTTCAATGCTGTCAGATGTCTTGAGGAAAGGAGGGGAAGAACAGGGGAAAGCCCAGATATGAAGGATTTTGATGGGTTTATTCAATCAGCAGGATTAATAGATATTAAAATGGTTAATAGGCGTTTCACATGGTACAGACCAGATGGCACAGCCATGAGCAGACTGGATAGAGTCTTGATGAATGCAGAGATGTACAGTATGGGTGTAGAGTGGGTGCAACAGGGCTTGAAACGAAATATTTCTGACCACTGTGCAATTGTGCTGAAAAAAAGAACAGTGGATTGGGGACCAAGGCCATTTCGAGTCTTGGATGCTTGGCAACTTCATCCGAATTTTAAGAAGGTTATCGAGGAGAAGTGGAGCGCAATGGAGGTCGATGGATTTGCAGGGTATAAGTGTAAACAGAAACTAAAGAAGTTGAAAGAGTTTCTAAAGGGATGGAACCGAGATGAGTTTGGGGATATGGAAGCTCATTATGAACAGGCGGTTAAAAAGGTTGAGCTTGTGGATTTGAAAAATGAAGATTTTGATTTGGATAATTATGAGATTCTTCAAAGACAAGAAGGATTTCAGAATATGTGGGATATATTGAGGAAGAGAGAAGTGATATGGAAACAAAAGTCAAGAAGCAATTGGGTACGAGAGGGAGATGCAAACACGCGATTCTTCCATAAAGTAGCAAATGGTAGAAAGGCCCAAAATCATATCACAGGTTTATGGTGTGATGGTGTTTGGGTGGAAGAACCAATACAAGTTAAGAAGGAGGTGGTTAATTATTTTAGCAAGCTTTTCCAAGGAGATACGTGGAATAGACCAAAGCCTTATGGGGTTAACTTCAAGCAGATTTCTACAGAGGACAAACAATGGCTTGAACGACCATTCTCCATTGAGGAAATTGAAGAAGGATTGCGAAGTTGTGAAGGCTCTAAAGCTCTGGGTCCAGACGGGTATAATTTTTCTTTTCTCAAGTTTGCATGGAATAGTTTAAAGGAGGATTTTATGAGCTTCTTCAAAGAGTTTCATCGGAATGGTCGATTGGTTAGTGGTTTGAACTCATCTTTTCTAACTTTAATTCCTAAAAAGCTTAATGCCGGGAACTTAAAGGATTATAGACCTATTAGCTTGATCGGGTGTATGTATAAGTTGTTATCAAAGGTGTTAGCTAATAGACTTAAAGCTGTTTTGCCGGGGATTATCAGTGAATCTCAATCAGCTTTCCTGGGAGGACGTCAACTAGTTGATGGTGTATTGGTGTTGAATGAGGTGGTGGAGGAAGTTAAGAGAAGGAAACAGTCGGCATTTATCTTTAAGGCTGATTTTGCAAAGGCATACGATTGTGTGGACTGGACATTCTTGGAATGGATGATGGACAGATTGGGGTTTGGAATCAAGTGGAAAGGTTGGATCATGGAATGCTTGTCGACTTCTAAAATATCAGTTCTAATTAATGGCAGCCCAACGGAGGAGTTCAAAGCTGGAAAAGGACTACGACAAGGCGACCCGTTATCGCCTTTTCTTTTCTTGATGATTGGAGAGGGATTAAATGGTTTGGTCCAAAAAGCAGTATCGGAGGGTATGCTGAGAGGTATAGAGATTGGCATGAGGGGATTAGCTATTTCTTTACTTCAATTCGCAGACGACACAATCATTATGGGAAAAGCTACCACAGAGAACATTTTTATGGTCAAAACAATTCTGCGATGGTTCGAACTGATGTCTGGTCTGCAAATCAATTTTAGCAAGAGTAACATTTATGGGTATAATGTGCCAACGAGATGGGTAGAAGGATCAGCCAGCATGTTGCGTTGTGGTGTCAGGAAATCACATTTTTGTTATTTGGGAATGCCTGTCGATGGAAATCCTGGGAATAAGAAGTTATGGGAGCCGCTAGTGAACAAATTTCGAGCCAAACTTGCTGTCTGAAAAGCTGCTTTGCTGTCCTTTGGTGGCCGCCTCACTCTGCTCAACTCGGTACTTTTTGCTCTACCCATTTTTTATATGTCGTTGTTCTTAATTCCAAATTCTGTGATGATTGAATTGATTAGTATTCAGAGAAATTTTCTATGGGGAGGGGTAGAGGGGCAGAGGAAGATATCGTGGGTGAAATGGGATAAGGTGTGTGGGAGTAAGGTAAAAGGGGGATTAGGGGTAACGGACCTGCGTAGGAAGAATTGGGCTTTGCTAGGGAAGTGGTGGTATAGGTTTGGAGAGGATGGGGAGAGCTTATGGAAAAGGATTGTAACGGAGAAATATTACGGGGGGAACAGGGATGAGGTGGACATTACAGCAATGGGGAATTGGAGAACGTCTAGAATATGGAAAGATATTATTAGTATAGGGGGTCGCTCTAGGAGGCTTAAAAATATGCTAGTGGAGGGTTTTAGGTGGGAAGTGGGGGAAGGGAACCGAGTGAGTTTTTGGAGAGACCTATGGGTCGGGAATAAAAATTTACGAGATTTATGCCCAAGGATGTATGAGCTATCTAAGAACAAGTTGGGTAATATTAGTGAGATGGGGGTATGGGAGGGGGAAGAATGGAGCTGGAAAATGGATTGGAGGAGAGGGAGAATAGGTCGAGAGAAGGATGAGGAGGAGGTGTTGTGGGAGAGGTTGGATAGCATTCAATTAAAGAAAGGTGTAAAAGACTTTTGGAGGTGGGTTCATGATTCGGAGGGAAATTTCATGGTGAGGAAGGCTTATGAATTTTTAGCTCCTACAGAGAGTATTTTAGAGGACCAATTGAGCAAGCTAATTTGGTGTAGATTTGTACCATCCAAAGTGTCTTTTTTTGGGTGGAGACTATGCCTTGATAGGTTACCAACTAAGTGGAATATTATGAAAAGAGGGGTTTCCCTGCAGGAGGAGGAGTTAATGTGTGGTTTGTGTGGTAGCATGGTTGAAGAAGCTAACCATTTATTTTGTATGTGTAAGGAAGCCTGGACTATTTGGGTAGAGGTTCTGAAGTGGTGGGGCATGGAGACTGTTATGCCTAATAATGTATTAGGAGTGGCAGACATATTTGTACAAGATGTGGGTAGGATAATAGGGAAGGAGATGGGGGCTTGCATCTTTCTTATTGTCTCATGGTATCTTTGGTATTGGAGAAATGGTAAGGTGTTTAATAGGGGTGATAACATCAGGGGAAGTTTAGTAGATATGGTTCAAGCCAAGTCATTCTTTTGGATCAAAAACAAGATACGAGGCTGTGTTTTTTCTTTTCATGAGTGGAAAGTAAATCCAGTTGAGTGTGCTTCATCAATGAGAAGATACAAACGGGAGCTGAAGCTGGTCCACAAACAGCAGAAAGGAATGGCGACAGAGTAAGATTTGAGGGGA